GCAGTCTCATGCTGTTGCTGCTGATAGCGAACGAAGTCGCCCTTCCAACACTACTGTGGCTTTGCGCAGCAAAAGGGACTCGGGCAGAGAGCGAAGGGCACAACATGAAATTGCAACTAACGTTATACGCGGGTTCTATCAAGATGTATCTGAGTTTCATTGAAGTGTCCCGGAAAGCTTGCTGCTGGAGGCTCTGTTGCAGTCCCTTTGCCACAGCCTTATTTTGTCACTGATGCCTGGAAATTACTCCAGGATACGTCTTGCAATCTGCACGAGTGATGCGTGAGGTTCTGGCTTCTTCATGCAGACTGCCCGAATGTGCGGAGCAGGTGGCGGATGGTTGATCGTAGGCGCGGTGATCCTGCCTGAGGGCCTTGCGCTTTGAGGGGATGAACCTGGTATCTGGCAGGAGAGAATGTCCTGGTGAAATGCGAAGCAAGCAGTGCCATGGATGGTTCCTGTGCCGAGTCCGGCCCCTGGTTGGAGAGAAATTGTCGGAAATTGATGCTGTGCAGATCTTGTGGTCCACGCTCCCACAGCGTACCCTCATGCCAGCCATTGCGCATGTTCACTTTTTTTCATCTCCTCACGTGCCTTTCTTTTCCAGTCTTTTCTTGACCATGGTTCAACGCTGTGTAGATGGTATGTGACTGGAAGCTACCACCCTAAAGCCGAAATCCCACATCTTTGAATCTGACAAATCCTGACACCTGTAGAACCAAATCCCAAAATACTAGTACGTGACCAAGCCGAAAGACAAAGCTTCCACTGAGGTGGGTGCTGTACACTGACTTGGTAGGCAGCACTGTGGCCAACTGCATGATGCGTCGTGGTCTTACTTGCAGAAGGTCTCATGAGTAGTATTTTATTTGGGGATAATATGGTACCCAATATAGACTAGAGTAAGATTACATCCTCCTTTTGGGAATAATATTTGTATATAAGGAATATTATCTTACTAGGTTCAACCACCCAAAAAACGCTACTCTCATGTCTTGCTTCCTCGTTGCTACACTGTGACACTAGCATTGGCGTCCTTGCTGGAGGCACGGTGTCAGCTGTGGCTCACAAGTGGCTACAGCTTTGGCCTTGATTCTCTGCTGCCAGCCTTGCTTTTAATAAGAACACTAGTAATAGTAATAGTAATAGTAATAGTAATAGTAATAGTAATAGTAATAGTAATAGTAATAGTAATAGCAGTAGTAGCATGTGACAGCGGTGATTGTGCCTGTCAGCTGACATCATCCTCATGGGGTTGAAGCTGCCAGAGATTTAGTGTCGTGGGCAGAGTATGCGCTGCTGCGTACTTAGGCCATTGCTGCCGAAACTCGTTGAGGTGGACCTCAAGCGACTGGTTGGTGTCCCAAGTTCCGCATTTCAGACCTGCATTTTAGCAACGCCCAACCTAGGTGGGAATGGCGCAGCCTCAGCGACACGAGCAGGCCAGCTTCGCGCGACAGCACAGAAAGGAGTATGCTATGAGTTTTAGAATATGTGGCCAGCGAGAACTGTCAGCTAGATGCTCATACGGAAGAAACGTGTCAAGAATGTTTTACACGAGCAAGATTGTGCGGTGGGGAGCGAGGTATTGTAATCAAGGGCTTTATGTGAACTGATTTTGCTGGATAGCCACGATTGGCAGCAGCCAACTATCTACAAACTATCTGATCCGAGACACCGTGAGGCGTAATAGAATGATGTTCGCAAGAACTGTCACGGGGTACAGATCTTAGACGTGTCACAATGTCTCACTATTAGTATGACTACGATTATTACTCTTGTTATTGCTGTTATTACTGTTGGTAATACTATTACTATTTTTGGATCATTTTTTGTTGTTGGTCCACAGAATGTCGCAGTCAGGCAGAAGCACCGAAGGACCGCCTGCGTTTGCACTTGTGTGCACTTCGCTGCCACTCTCGCAAGTGCTTCCAGGATGCTTCCCAGATGGCAAAGGACCGCGAAGTGAAGGCAGGGATCCAGAGTTCATGGTGTGTGATTACTAGTAATAGTAATAGCAATGGTAATAGTAATACTTGTAGTGATAATAGAAATATTAATAGTGGTACTACTCATTTTCATAGTAATAACAATAGTCATAGTAGTTCTCATAGAACAAAAAGAAGACCTAATTCACTTCAGCCAGACCTCATGTCAGGTGGGAAGTGCCCGCGAGAGGTACCTAGCCCGGAAGAACAAGCCGGCCACCAAGTAGCAGCCCCGCCTGGAAGCTCTGAGCCGCTAAGAACAAAAAGCAGGTCGCAAGAGGAGCCTCTATATATACCCTAACCTTACCCGAATATTACCCTGATGGGTACCCTGCATAAACCCCTATATACCCCATTATTACCCACATCTTTCTTCTTGTCTGGATTCTTGTGCAAGCCCGGAGCCAGATTGGTCAAGCCAGCACTGCAGTATCCAACCAGACAGTCGAGGAGAAGCCTCCAACATACTCCCAGAATTTCCAATAGTTACGCAGCAAGCAGGAAAAGAATTCACTAAGACATCGAACTCACAGACATGCGCCAAAGTGCAGTGATCGATGCTGTGAGGTGGGGTGTTGCCCTGCAAGATGCAATGCCTTGCGTTCCCAGCTGCACGTTGCTCGCCACGTCGCCTGAATGTCAAGTGCGTTTCGCAAGGCGATGCCTGGCCAGTGCCCGGCCAGCGAGGCCCAGGCTCTGCCAAACGAGGTCGCAGGGGGGCTGATGGGGCTACTTACATGAGCTATAGTCTAAACTCCTCAAAGGGGTTATATAGGGGATTATATAGATTGAATAGGGGAGTATTATAGGGGCTATTGAGGGGGATACAAGGAGTTTAGACTATACCTCACATGGATGCTCACGGTATATCACAGGGTGGCCCTTGGGGAGATCCTGCTGGCGAGGGCTCACGGGACGGTCAGGTGGAACGTGACAGTCGCAGCTGCCCAGCCGACCTCTTTTAGGGAGTCGCAGGCACGAGTTGTTACGATCCCTTCTGACATGCTGGTTACACCATGCCTGTTTCAGGAGCAGATCAGCTTGAGTGAGCGACAGGAGGCTCGTCTTGTGCTGCGCACGGTCCTGAGGCCACAGATTTATTGTTCTGACAGGAGGCTCCTCAAAGTTTCTTCCACAAACCTGATGGGTCACCAAGCTGTAGGCTTTTTTCGAGTATGCTGAAGTTGGAATCACGTCGTTGCATCTAGCTGTTAGTTTAGGGTCTGAAGAAGTCTTGCGTAGAACGTGACTGGTTAAGCGACTGCCCTTAGCTCCTGAAGTATGTGTCAACATCAGCCTGGCTGTTGTCGTTCCCCACAGGCTTTCCTGCTCGAGCGCCTGCCGCGTGCGTGGAATGAGGACTTGCACTTGCGGCAGGGAGAGGGTGGTCGTGCAGATCAAGTGCATTGATGCCAGTTCTTTGCAGGAGAGCGTGCGAGATGCATTGAGAGGTTGTGGACAAGACTTGGGCGAGGAGTGGCGCAGGACTCAGAACAACTGGGCGATTAGTCTTGTCCTCGCTCTTTGGTCTTGGATTCGCACGCAGCCATTTACACTTGCACGGTACCACTGCAGACGTTATAGAAATGCAGCTATCCAACCGGCTTTATACTTTATCCGGCCGCATTTGCTTCTGAGGCGCAGCAAGGTTCTGCTGATGCGCTCTCGCTTGGGCACGTCGATGGGACGAGCCCTCGTGGCCTCCGCAACACACATGCCTGATGTTGTCAAGGTCATGCTTTCGAAGCTCTACTGTACTGTGAACCATATGCCTTGGTAAAAGTCTTCAGGAGCTTCCATGGGGAACTGTCTATCGCCCCATGGACCGGGCAGACATTGAGGCTGGCTGCCTCCCAGGTTCCCGTCACGAGAAGCAATGCGTGAGCTGTAGGCGTTTGTGGAGCAATGCGAACGCTTTGTGCACCTCAGCGAAGCCGGGATTCCCAAATGTATTCACTTTCCTTTCATGCGTTTCCGTTAGAGTGCTTCTGCCTCTTTGATTTCTGAGGACCTCAGGCGTGTTGCTGCGCCAGAGAACTTCCTCCGGGTGCTGACCATCACCGAGGCCCACCAGCTTATGCGTGCAAGATGAGATATCCAACAGGCAAGTAGGACACGCAGAGATCGACATGTTGCTTTGTGCCGGGAGGGCTGGGACGATCGCGCAAGAGGTCGAAAGAGAATCATTCTACTAGACAATGCTAGTCATGTGTAGAAAGGCCGCTGGCAGGTATCATACAGTTTCACGTGCCACTTGCACCAGTGAAGTGTTGCACTAAAAACAACCAACGCCAGCACGGGTTTGGCAGATAGATTTACTCAACCTCTTGTTGATGCTTCGCTGTCTCTGTCGCACCCTTTGAAAGGTACGTGATGTTGAAACCTCCAGTCCACATGTCCTTCGCCTTGCCCTTGCAGATCTTGCAGACACTGATTGGAAAAGGCTGTCATTTGGAAGTCGAGGTGACCGCACATTCTGCTGGCCTGGGATGATTTGTTAAGCCCTCTCGAAAATGAAGCGTTTCAAGTGTCAACACCCAAGCACGTGAGATGTCCGAAGCTCTCGTCGTGCAGCTGTCTTCGCACCATCGTGCAGCTTGTTTTTTTTGGTGCCTGACGCAGCCGCGTTGGTGCGCGGCGGTGAGATCTGGCGGTTCTGGTACGGTGTGGTGGGTTGATGTGCTAAGAGAGAACGATACCCAAGTTGTGGCTGCAGAACGGCATCTGAACTTTGGGACCAGGTGCCTTCGAACTATGGTCGCAAGGACATCAGCAAACCTGTCCAATGCTATTTGTGGGACCAGACACTCACCAGGACATTGCCCACATCCTCAAGGAGCGGTGCAATGTAACCGTGGCACCCACCGACGTTGTCTTCCGCTTCAAGCGGCCGTAGCCCAAGTTGTGTTGCGTCAAGTTCCGAAGCAGATCCGGCCGTGTGACAGGTGGGGACGGCAGGCTGACACTTGCTACGTCGTCTGCCCAACACCCGAAGCCGTCGACCGCTGTGTGCAAGAAATTCAGGACGAATGTAGGGCATGCACACATGCAATGCTTGGATCTGAAACTGCCTTAGTTGTGGGCGGGGCGTGTTAGCGTAGAGGTAGAAGAAAGAGGGTCCTGTAATGTAAACGAAATCAGAATTGCGAATCTTGTTGGACGAGAGGAGCTTGCTGTGCCGAAACGAGTTGCCCATGGCTCGCTGTTTGGACCGCTGGCGAAGTATCTACGTAGCCAATACATAGCTGTTTTCACTTAAGAAGAAACTTCGTCAAAGGTGGGTCGAGTCAAGAAGCTTTGCTGCTCTGAACTCTGGATCAGCTTTGGTTGATGCACATGGAGCTTGCAGACGTAGAATTGAGCTACGGTAAAGGAAGATCTGCCACGCAGACCGCAGACTTCCCAAGCAGTCAGGAGCAGCTTTTCTCTGGTCTAGCCGTGCGACGCTCTTCTTGAGCGACCCGGTGCTGGGCCTGGACTTGCAGAAAGATGGCGAGAAAGGACAGCAACGATATTAGTAATTAATAAGAATAGTAGTAGCACTTGATAGTTATAATAGTTATAACAGTTATAACAGTTATAATAGGTAAACAGTTATAATAGTTATAATAGTTACAATAGTTATAATAGTTATAATAGGTACAACAGTTATAATTGTTATAATAGTTAGTAAAAAATTGTAAGCATAGCAATAGTAGTAATTGTTTCAGGGTTCAGGGTCCTTTGTGAGGCCTTGGACTTTCTGCTACATGCCCTGCTCTTACTGAGACTCCAAGCCCGCCTTTCCTGATGAAGCACTTCCCCCTAAACCTTTCTCGCTAGGACTGCAAGACATGGGTATTTACAACCGGTTGGCAGGAGGTGCAACACCACACGCACAAACTGCAAAGCAAGATAGATTTCTGCCACCCAGCAGGATATGACTGAGGAGGAGTTCCTTCAGGCAATGCACAAGCGCATGGCAGATCCTCCCTGGCCAAAAGTTTCAAGTTGTTCCAGGTTCTGCACCAGCTTCGCTTCTACCCAGCACTGTGCCTAGCATTCGTCTGGAACCTCCATGACTTGATCTCATGGAAGAAAACCACAGAAGGTCCGCGCGGTGCGTCATCCCATCGCAGCGGATCATTCCAGCTCCTTCTTCGTGAAGCCGCTGCCTCGTTCTGGTCTTCTTATTTATTTTTTGACAAGGCTACAGAAGGCTACGCTGACTCCAGCAGCTAAGGTTTGAGCAAATGGAAGGCTTTAGTGGTGCAAAGCGAGCCGCCAGACTGCAACTCTCAGCTGGCTGGAGAAACGTCGGTAGTTGGGGGAACCCTCCAAGGCCATGATGAGGTTTCGCCGCCTGAAATGGCTTGCTGCTCAGGGTTAGACGTCACAACTGGGCTGTTTGCTTGGAGTCACTTTACCAGCAACCCAGGCGCTGGCGGATCAAGCAGACAGTTCCCTTTTTCGCGTACCCGCGTCGCATTGATGTGCACCGGACAGGCGAAGCTTTTTGGTGCGTGTGAGCATTCCCTGGCAGTGTGGTAGTCCGACCTTTGGCCTGAGGAGAAGCCCGGCATGAAGATGAGTTGAGCGATGATGATTCTGACATAGATGAGCCTGTGCACTACTAGAACCGACAAAAGGGAATCTTTTGTGCGTGCAGTTTTGCGACATGGCCATCTGTTGATCGAATATCCTGGGCAGTGTTTGCTTCGCAGACCAGGCATTGGCAAAGCACACGTGAAGCTAGGGAGAGATGACAGTTTCCATACAGACTCTCCCAGAACTCTGAGAAAACCATGATAATGGTTGATTTTCTTCGAGCCAGACTAGTTGAATCATGCCGTCTTGATGCATGCTAGCCCTGGATCATGACGAGGCCCACGTTTGTACACGGCTTTGATTCTGAGCAACTGTGCATGCGACGCGAAAGACTGAGGCAGATGGCTTGGGCAAGTGAGGCCAGAAATGGTGCTGCGCTTTCCACTGCTTCCCCCTCACCTGCGGAGGTTTATGGCAGCCGGGGCTTTGGCAAGTGAAGCGGGGACTGGTCTTGCTTGAACTCCTGTTTTGCATCATGGCTTGGCTTAGATGGCAGTTGGTAACTTCGCCGCTCATATGATGCCGAGCCGCTGTTTAGCCATCGATTCGTGTTGCCAGCAAAAACTGTGGAGCAAACTGGACATGTCTTTGTTCTGCAGTTGTGAGTCCTTCGTCGTAAGTTAGTTGGAAACAAAGCAGCACCTCAGAAGAGGGTTTGTTGTTTTTTGAGCCAACTGTTCTTGTCCACTGTCTTCGCGTCCTGCAGACACGCATACGGTAGCAATGAGGCGGCTGCCGGCTGGGGCGAGGTACTATTTAGAGCATCCCTCAGCGGCATTCTGTGACTTGGGTCATGGCCTGCTGGTGGGTATCGTGTTCTGGCCACTGTCAGTGGGCAATGCAGCCCTGGCTAAAGTCCCACCTTCCGTGAGCATCAACACATCCCTCTTCTCACCACTGGTATACCTTCTTGTCGGCAGCGTTCCACTCCTCTCTGTGCAGTCTGGTTCTACCGCAGCGTTATGCCTAGGCGAGCTTCTTGCCTCCAGGCAGTCAAAGTCGAATGGCGAACAAGCGGGAACAGAAGCCGAGCTTGCAACTTTGCTGGCAGGCCTCGTGGGCGCAATGCATTCGGCCATGGGCCTTCTGAACTTGGGAGCAGCTGTGGAGCTGTTCTCTCAACCCTTGCTACGTGCTCGCACAGGCGCAGCAGGGCTGATAATTATCATGGGCCAGACTGAAACACTTTTGGGGCTGTCCACTGACCCAGTGCCAGCTGTGCCCATACTGCGATTTTGGGCCGCGTGTTCCTCGCTCCCGACTCTGTGCCCACGCACGAGTGCGCTATCCGCTTGTTTGCTTCTTGTCCTCGTGGTATGCAAGACGGTGGGAAATGTAGGGACACGCATTGGTAAAACCAGCCGTGCACGCAAGGCCCTTGCAGGTATTTGCAGAATCCTGCAAGCGGCGGCCAACTTAATCGTCCTAGCAGCTGCAGCTGCTGTGCAGCAGTATGTATCCGGCCCGGAGGCCCTGGAGCGCTTCGAGACTCCTCGTCCTCAGTGGATGTTTTCAGAGAGGACCCTCCAGCTGTTCGTTGATGCGGTGCCTACAGCAGCACTGACGGCTTTCCTGACACTAGGCAGTCATTGTACGGTTGTGGAGCGGGTACGGCGCCCAACTGACACCTGGAATCCCCGGCGCGAGCTCTTTGCGCTTGGCTTGGCAAGCATTCTGGCCGCCTTAGTCGGAGGCATGCCTGTTATGGCAAACCTTGCGGTTTGCCAGGCCTTGCAGGGAGCTTCGGGAAGGCTTGCTCCATTGGGTAACGTCCTCGGACATTTCCTGGCTTTCATGGCTGTCTCCAGGCTGCCAGACTTTGAAATTCCTCGATGTGCAATCTCTGTAATTCTGGTCGTCGAATTTGCCCCCTTACTTCGAAACCTTCCGGGTGAAATCTGGCACTTGTGGCAGCAGGCAAGTGTAGCATCTCCAAACAGCACTTTGCGCGTGCTTGTTGCCAGTGATCTAAGTATTTACTTGATTGCGTTCTTGTCGCCTCTAGCGTTTGGAATTGTCAACGGGTCGCTGATCGCAGTGGGTATGCAGGTTGCAGTGTCTCTTTCAAGGTTTGCAGGACCTGGATACGTTCAGGTAGGCCGTGTACCTGGAACATCAACCTACGACGAGATAGGAGTGCCCGGTTCTGCTGCGGTTCCTCTTGACAAGATCGTAATCACCCGTCCTTTGGGCCCGCGCTGGTTCGGGAACGCAGCCGCCAACACTAGGGCTGCAAGACGCGAACGCCGCAATCTTGACCGGGAGATACTTGTGGCTATCGCAGATTGGCGTATGGTCTCCTTTCTGGATGAGACTGCGCTCTTGCATTACAAGCGCACATGGTCGGACGTTGATGTGAAAGTGTTGGTGACTAACACATGTGCCACTGTGCGACGGCAGATACAGGAGTGTGGATTGGCTGATGTGCTGCAGCAGCCGGAGGAGACTATGGTGGACTTGCACGCTGCGGTATTGTGGGCGCAGGAGTACATCAAAGAAGTCGAATCAAGTCGCGTGGTAATTGGTCTTGATGCTAGACGTCGGAGTCGCGCTGGGACGGCCGATGAGTGAAGGCTGACCCTGTGCAGTGTACAGCGTTGTACAGATATGTACAGCCTTTTGCTGTGGGCGGCCACATCCCAAGCTTGCCTGCGGACCTTGGCAACACACCTGATCGTTGGTCTCTCTCTTGTTTTTTTTTTTAACATGATTGCCAACCAGTCTGCATGGCAGATGGCAGGACACATGCCTGGAGAGCTCCGATGGGGCGCTGGCCTCAAAAAAGCTCAGGTTCACGCAGAGTCTGAATAGGCGGAAGAGGCTTTGTTTCTTACGCTGCCAGACAAGGTTGCTGACAAGCACAGGCGTGGAGGCGTTTTACTTCAAAAGTTTGCGTACAGCAGCCTCAAGCGTATGATTCTGGCTTCAGGCAGCAAGGGCCGGTGGTGCATAGCTTGGCGAGACCTCTAAAGTGTGAGTGAGGCATACCTGCTCCGGAACTCGTTTTTGCAAGGCTTCCCATCTGTGCCAGTGGAGCCTGCCTCCAAGGCTGAGATGCGTACTCCAAAGGGTACAGCTTTTAACGTCTTCTAATGATTAATCATCATCCTAGCCTTGCTCCGTCTTTGCTTGGATTTGGCGGGATTTGTGAAGAAAGTGGCTCGCAAACACAGCCCGTCACCCAAGCTATCTCCAAATATTCCCTGGAAGCCTGAATGGAGCAGGCCTTCGAGGCATGTCCGACATGCGGCAGCGTGTACCCTCCAGACGCCAGCGACTGCCGAGAGCCGCTGGACTCGGTGTGACAGGGTGAACAGGAAGGCTGATAGGTAGTTCTAGCATGTTCTAGCTGGGGTCATGAGGAGAATTCCGCTTTTAGCCTAATCCTAGATTATTTTGGGTATTTATCACGCGGCTTGGATCCACCCATGAAGTCCCAAGTATGAAGTTCTGAGCTCCCCTCAGGTGCGGCTCAGCGCGGCCGCTGGCCCAATGTCCAAACTGTCGCAACCAATACTCCCTGGACTCAAACTTCTGCAGAAGGCTTTGTGAAGAGCGTTCGAGATTTGACAGCTTTCGCAGCTTTTTCCCGCTCCTGACAATGTCTGACAGATGTGGTGCGCAACGTCCTGTCGTCAAGCTTGGGGTTCGCAGTGCCCCCGTGCTGCCTTGCAATGGCTTGCTTTCACAACCTGCGTGTCAGCTGGAGCTGCAGGGATTCGTTCTGGGAATGAGAGTTTACGCCTGAAAGCCATCTGGCTCAGAGCCATAGCTTATGCTTGCAATTCCGCTCACCCCCTGCGCCTGCGCCTCAGCTTGTGCTGGCCAGGGGTGTTGCAAGCGAGTCCGCGAGTCCCAGGTAGTTTGCAGAAGAGAGCCGAGGGTGACCGATGGTGAGAAGAAGATGGAGTTGTTGGCTGCTGCTGCTTGCAGCAGCCAATGGTAGTCCCATGCCAGAGCGCGCTGCAGCGCAGGCTTTGCAAATCAGATGCTCATGGCTGAGCGTGATTGTTCCGGAATGCACAGTGCTGCTCTGGAGGATGCATCGCGAAAGCTGCATCCACATGGCAGCAACATGCTTCAAATGCCGGCTCCCCATTCCATAAGGGCTTTCGCAGGCATTGGCAAAGCAAATGCCTCGTGACTTTGGTAAGCACTGCTAGGCAAACTTCAGACCCGATTTCATTCCGGGAGGCTCGTTGAGATGGGACAAGCGCTTTTTCAAAGCTTCTAGATCCATAGTCCCCCTTAAGTAAATAGAATATGGGGTATATGGGGATCTTATCATAACCTACCCAAAGCCATATTCTATCTACTTAAGGGGGACTAAACACTAAACCCTAAGCCCTAAATTGTAGCTTCCATTTTCTTTTCCATTATCCCTATATAACCCCTATAGATCCCTTTAAAGGGACCTAGGGTTTCAATCTACTTAAGGGGGGCCTATAGACCCCAATATATACCCTTTTATATTATAGTAGTTTCCATTTTCTTTTCCATTAATCCTATAGGGGACTATACCTTTTTCCACCAGGATGGCCTGCTCCAGTTCACGGGCTCCTCTGGGAGCCTGCAGGTCCGAATTGAAGTACCCAGGAGCCTTTTGGGCTCCTTGAACTTGGCTGGGGATTATAGGGGATATATAGGGGTTATATAGGGATTATATAGGGGATTATATAGGGATTATATAGGGATTATAGGGGCTATACTGGATAATCCAGGCTTTCAGGCTCAGGGATGAGGGTTTTATTGGGGTAATATTGGGGTTATATAGGGATCATGGGAACATGAAAACTACAATTTAGGGTTTTTAGGGTTTAGGGTTTAGAGTTTAGGGTTGTTCGTCTGCTTTGTATAGATGCACCATTGATAGCATGCTCTGGTAGCTACAAAGGGATCCAAGGCAAGCTTGTGACCATTGGCAAGTCGCTAGGGTGGCCACAAAATTGTGAATGTGACATTTTAGCTCATCCCAGTTTGACTTATATAGGGTATGATGGATAATGGAAAAGAAAATGGAAGCTACTATGATTTAGGGATTATATAGGCTTACATTGGGGTTACATTTAGGGCTTAAATAGGGATTATATGCGAAACCTTCTGAAAGTCAAGCTGGATGTGGACTTGCAGGACTTTCAGTCACTTCATGCCTCCTGGCTAGCATTTTGAGAGCCCTGTGGTGTAGTTGGAGTGCACATGGTGGATTGTGAAACGAATATGGCTTAAAGGATTGCAAACATTATAGTCGGTTAACAATACAAATGATATAAGTGATATTGGTTCCAATAGTGACATTGATTACTTTAGAACTACGGTCCATTTGTGGGTGCCCATGATATTGGGCCCCTCGGATTTAGGGTACCCTAGAAGGGGACCATGACGTTTGACAACCGTTGACACGTTGGATCATGTTGGGGTCTCCGGAGGCGAGGGCTGATGTTCCGGCCCTCGCTGGAAGATGGCACTGCCATGCTTTTCCAGTGGGACCAAGATGGACCTCGGAGCTTTTGGATGGACTCTTGTGGCAGCATTAAGCAGTTCGGGATTACTGTAGGCTTGGCTGTCATGCTGGCACCATTGCATGCTTCATTTGGCAGCTGTTCAGGAAAACACTTACATGCCGCTGGACATCGTGTATGTTAACAGCCAGCACAAAATAGTTTCCATAAAGAGCCTTGGCAGCAGATGCGCTGCAAAGTCGCGATGGAGCCGCTGTGCTACGCAGCTCACTGCATGCCTTGGTGGGTTCTGGCAATTGAGTTTTAGTTTCTTTACGGCAACACAGATTGCTACTGAGGCAGGCCATGCCACTGTCTACACGAGGTGTCCCAAGCGAGTTGCTGGCCAGCTCCGCCATCGAGGTACCTCAAGGTGGGCCGCAGCTTCTGTGAATTAGCGCATTTGAAATAGAACAAAATGGGTGGTTATCAAAATGATGGTTTTTATTTGTGGGTACCGTAAATATTAGGCGCCGTATTATACTAGGGATCCTAAAAGGGACCATAATTTTGACAACCACCCAAATAGCGAGTTATGATAACAACAGTGAGTCAGACTACCCCAACAGCCGGGAAGAACGGACAATGGACAATCACATGGACACTTGGTTTATAGGGGTTCCCCAAATTGGGGGTGCCATTTTGGGGTATTTGGGGTTCTATATTGGGGTCCCCATGTATTAAGAAACTACCATATAGCCCGATGTAATATGGTAGTTTCCACTATCCTCCATTATCCCTATATAACCCTCAAATATCCCCTATATTGGGTCCCCCTATTTGGGGAAACTCCTCTTCGCCGAGCAGGCTGGTGCCAATTGCATGGAGTCAGAGTTGGTGACGAAGTGGGCTGGAGACTGGGATGCTGTTAAGGAACTTAAATTAAGTTACCATAATGGGTACATAGGGTTTAGGGTTTAGGGTTTAGGGTTACCATGATGGGTATATATAGTAGATAATAGGGTTTCCCCAATATAGTAACTTAAACTAAGTTCCTTAACAGCAACCCAGGAGAACGGACACTCCAGCATTCATTGCCAGAGATGCAGCTGTTCTTTGTCTGCAAGGGGATCTCTCAGTGAGCAGTAGAACGCGATATAGTCCCCGAGTAGATAGAATATGGGGCCTATGAGGATCTCATTAACAAAAATTTGGTCTTGGGGAAATTCCATATTCTAACATACTATAGTAGTTTCCATTTTCTTTTCCATTATCCCCACATAACCCCAATATAACCCCTACTATTTCCCCTATATAGCCTCTATATATCCCCTATAGAAGCCCTGGCATCCATTTGAAGGTACCTTTGGGAAAGCCCTGGATCTGAGGACTTCGGAGCCAGCCCTGCAGAGGTTGAGGAAGCTATCCGAGATGGTAACTACCGTGCCTAGCGCTGGCCAAAAAGGCTACTTGGAGGGTTAGGGCGACTTAGTAAGAATGGAAAGGAAAATGGAAACTACTACATTCTTACTATGTCCCCCTGACCCTCCAAGCCTCCGCTGTGTTCATGTGTTGCCGCTTGTCGCATCAACACATGTTGCTGGTTCACCCTGGCTTCCGTTTCATTTTTAGTTTAAATCTAAATTTTTGGGGTGTAAAATTCCTGTATGATCTCTATATAACCCCAATATATGGTAGTAGTTTAGGTTTCATTCCCTTATTCCCTGCATAACTGTCTGAACAAGGTAGCTTCCATGTCATATCCCAATTCACGGTTATTCCCTATGTAACCCTTGGATTTGTCTCCGCCCACGCAGGCCGACGTGTCGAAGTCAGCTGGAGGTCTGCTGCGCAAAGGCTTGGACATGCCAAAGCATAGTCCCCCTTAAATAGATACAATCTAGGGTATATAGGGATCTTATTATAATATGCCCAATGCCAGATTCTATCTACTTAAGAGAACTATACTCGTAGAAGGAAGAGATGTGGTTGAGGATGCCTATCAAAAAGTTATTAATCAAAAAGCATAAGTCATGATCAACAAGAAATTCAACCGTAATCAACATGATATTCCACCTGCCAAATGTGGACAGTGGAAGGGGATCGTGGGGGTCCGGGTCGCGATCCTCCTAACTGTCGTCTCTTTTAGACCCTCCGACCCCCTTGTGTTTTGAGAAGTGTCAACGGTCACAGGGATCGTGGGGATCGGGGTCGCGATCCTCGTTACTGTCGTGGCTTTTGGACCCTCTGAGCCTTTTGGAACATGACAAGTGTTAACAGTCACAGGGATCGTGGGGGTCTGGGCCGCGATCCTCGTAAGTGTCGTTGCCTTTGGACCCTCAGATCCTTTTGGAGAGAGACAAGAACGTAGCCAGGGAAGCAAGAAAGTAAGTAAGAAAGGAGAACAGGAAAGCCAAAAGCCGGAAAGAAAGAAGCACAAAGTATTTACTTCGAGCATCCCCA